GTTGACGCTGACCACAGAACACGCTCTCTGTAGAACACTGTATAGAGATATGAGTCCCTAATACCACGCCAAGTATTTAGTATCTACTTCTATAATGCAGTGCAAGCGAGAAAATTTTGGATAGCTCAGGCCGTGGTCAAGCTGCCGCTACAAATACTTCGAAGTATTCTTCTACTCCTCTTTTTCCATAAAGATAGAAGAAGAAAGAAACACTTCGAAGCATTTGTAGCTGCAGCTTGACCGCAGCTTTAATCATGCGAACCATGTAAGTCTGAAGAATGTGCACACATTGTTGATACAGCCAAGTCTTACTTAGGTTGAATTGTAACTCAATTGTAATATCCTCATCACGACTGATACATTACGATATAATTATGTGTTTCTAGCATCTATCTTTCTTTTTTGTCATTGAAGAGGACCACATTAGAGGGTCGAAACGTTTGACGATATTCAATAAAATTTAAAAATTAATAGGACACCTATTACTAGAATACCCGCAAAAACCACCTAGCGCCTGGCTCTTATTGCCCGTTGTACATGATATTAGTTATTAGTATCAAAAATTAAATTAAAAGATTTTTTTTATGGCATACATACCTAAAAACGATTTCGTACGCTCAAATGCTTCGTCAATTTTAGTCAACTTTCCCTGTAATCAAAAGTATTTGTTGTTTTCGTTGTACTTTTGTTAAATTTATGAATCATTTTTCGATTTGATATTATTGTTTATTTACTTGTTATTATACTTTTTATTTTTACTTGTTATTTATATACTTTTTATTACTTTATATATTTCTCATTTATTTATATTTATTTTATTTTTACTTGTTATTTACATATTTTTTACCTGTGATTTGAATTTTCCTCGTTTCGGCTGTGAAGGATCATCAATGGAATCGACACTAGATCCGGAAGTCACATTAACTTTTTGCTTCGGACTATTAGCTTGGGGGTAAAACAATGCATGGCTTGCACTAAGGTGCTGAAACAAGTTCGTTGTGTTCCCGCTATGTTTATACACTTTATTGCAAATGTTACAACGGGCTGTAACATTACTTTCTCTTTCGAAATATTGCCATGCTGCACTCGGTTGTTTTGACCTTTTAAATATTAAATAATAATTAAGGTTAAGACAATCTTTCAGGACGATCCCTAAAAAAAGTAAAAATGTGCAAAGAATACTAAAAACAACTTACTCAGATTTATTCTTTGTTACGCCTGAACATTTTGGTGGGACTTCAGTTAATTGGCGTGATCTTTTGGGCTACCACTTGAGAATCTCGAGCATTACTTTTTGTATTTTCGATCAATGTACTATAAAAAGGCAGATATTAAATTCAATAAAGTGAACAAGGCCATAGATCGTGAACAATTTTTACACTCACCAATCTACATCATCAATAGATCGAAACAGTGTTATGATTTCTTCGTCGTCATTAAGGATCTTCTCACTTTCACACGGATTGCGAAAGTCTACGAATGCCTTATCGTTATCTGAAATAAAAAGTACAAATATAGGGTATATGATAAGAATAAAATAATAATCTAATATCGATCCCCTCCCGGAGATATGTCTTTGCTTAAATAAATACAAAATATGTATACATATACATGGTCGGTCCAGAAAGTATCGGGACTGATTTTTTCTAGTCAAGGGGAAGGAGTAGGGGTACGGTCTCTATGGGCAGGGATTTTGTTATTAGTGGGGGAATTCCCCCTTGACTAGAAAAAATCAGTCTCGATACTTTCTGGACCGACCATATACACATGTATACAATTAAAGAAATGTACATTTCCTCGTACAAGGAATGAATCCTGTTTGATTCTAAAATATATTGTGTTCGTCCTAACTTCTATAAAATAAAAGAATATTCGTGTAAAACATTATCGTCAAGTTATCATCATCCCAGCGAGAAATGATTCGTCGATCGACGTCGAAATGATGTCGAATCGACGTCAATTCGACGGTGTCGATGTCGATTCGATGTCGTTTCGACGTCGATCGACGAATCATTTCTCACTGGGATCGGAAATCAAACAAAATTATAGATGTTCGAGGTTATGTGATATACTTAATCGAAAAAGTATAAATCTATTAGTACTTACCGTTTATGGCATTCATTGCTGACTCACATTAAAGTACGAAATACGAAACTTTATGAGATAAAAACGAAATATATATATCCTTCCCTTTCACGACGCAGTATCCGACAAGAGTCCCTGTGGTAAAGC